AAGGCATCAAATCTTCAGAGCACTGCAGAGTGCTTCATATGTTTTGTGTGCTCTTGCAGCTCCTTTTGCAATCTAGGACGAGAATGGCAGGTTGTATAGGAGACCCAGAGGACTGATGACATCACTCCCATGGTCAGTGGCTCTCAGGCCAAGCAATTGGCTGCTAGGCCCAGGCACTGCCACAAGGCAGCAGGTCAGAGAAGCCATTTCCAAAGACCCTGTCACCTTACCCTGCATGGACAAGGTGACCAGGTCTCTTGAAGACTTACCTGACCTAAATAAATATCTATCTATCGATAGATAGATAGATAGATATATCCATATCTATGTATCTCTATCTACCGATCTATATCTAGATCGATCTAGATATAATCTCAAAAATAATTTTCTGATCAGATAATTTTTGAGTTACAAACCCTTTAATCCCACTTCTGGTCTAGTTAGACATAGTTAGGGCCATAGCCAGGGCCTCACAAATGCCCCCTTGGAAGGCGCCTTCCAGGAAGAGCTTGTCTGTACACTTACAAGATCTTAGGGAAAGGTATGCATGAGTTAACAAAATTCCGAGAGATTTTGTTAATTCATTCACAGATCTGTTTATACCTCCTACTCCTATTACACACATTATGTAATTTGCTGACTCGTGTTATCGGGGATGGTGGGGGAGTGGATTGGTAGTGAACTATATTCTGCAAAGCCATCAGACTGCATCTTCTGCCCTTAGTTGAAATTGGCTACTGGGATAAGAAGCTAGAAATAAAATTAAAAAAACAAAAAGGTAGTGATCAAAACAGCCTACAATATTACAGAAAATGTATGTGTGTATATATCTATATATCGATCGAGATATCTACATCTTGATATAGATCGAGATATCTATATCTCGATATAGATCGATATATCTATATCTCAAAATAGATCTATATAGATATATATCTCCTATCTATCTCTATCTATCTCTATCTATCTCTATCTATCTCTATCTATCTCTATCTCTATCTATCTCTATCTATCTCTCTCTATCTCTCTCTATCTCTCTCTATCTCTCTCTATCTCTCTCTATCATAATATATATCTATCTATCTATCTATCTATCTATCATATATAGATATATCTCTATCTATCTCTATCTATCTCTATCTATCTATCTCTATCTATCTCTATCTATCTATCTCTATCTAATCTATCTATCTCTATCTATCTCTATCTATCATAATATATAGATATATATCTATCTATCTCTATCTATCTCTATCTATCATAATATATAGATATATATCTATCTATCTATATATTTGTATGTTTATGCAAGTATATCTATCATTGAACCGTATTTATAAAGCCCCAACAGTTTCCATGGCACCATAATGCTAAAAAAAAACACATCTAGCATTGTGGTTCTCAACTGGTGGGTCTTGCCCTCATCCTTACCAGAATTGTAGTTTACCTTATAAAGTCAGGCGGGTGCTTGTAGTGACCACGGACGGCACCGTGAAGTATACATGAAGTTCAAGAATTTCACCAGCACACCATTGATCAAGTGAAGTTAATCCATTTAATGACACAACAATGCCATCCAATGCTAGCACTTTCGGGGCCAAGCTGGGTCACCATCAGGCTAGGACTGACTATGCCAGGGAGCTCCATCCATACATGCATTGCTTACAGCTCCCTCACATTCCCTGTAGAGGGCAAGCAAGGGAGCTGCACAAGCAATGCACATATGGAGCTACACTGGACCCCAGCTCAGGATCCACTCCAGTTCTCATAAAGTAGGGAGACTGGATGGGTCTTAAAAAATAAATAAAACATTTTCGTGTCTGTGGTTGAGTGTCAGTGTTTTTGAGGGCCCCACGCAATCACACCTGGTGGGTGAGGTGTGTTGCGATTCATTTAAATGGCTCCCCAAATGTACCTCTTTCACACAATTCAATTGCCCGCACAGGAACGTGCGGTACTGCAATGCTGTGCGTTCCAGTGGCTTACGACTTACTGACCAAGGGCAAATGTGGGTCCTGAGGTTACACAGGTTGAGAACCTCTGATCTAGCAGTTTTCATCAAACAAAATGTGTACCTATATATGTCAACAGGTTTCCTTGTCACTGTAAACATTTTAAAATGTTACAAAGGCAAAATGAGACAAGATATCAAAATATTTTCTTACTCAAGGAGTTTGAAACCGAACTAATGGTTGGTGGTCTAGTGGGACCACTTGCTCCAAGTATGCATCCAGTGATGAAAGCTCCACGTTTTCTGCTTCTCCATAGCTGCCGCTAACTGACTGAAGTTTGCAGAAGTGGTTTTCACAGTCAGTGTCTTTCTCCTTTGGCTATATTTGGCTATTATGGTGCCCAGCAATTATGCAGCTCATATCCATGCCTGATTTAGTTGCATCACTTCAGCACTAGGCTCCACTTTTTGGCACCCTACAGGTAGTGTGTCAACTGAACTGTGCATGTACTGCAGACAAAGTCCGTAAAGTAACAAGTTGCTAGTAAAAGGGTATAGTAGTCCTTCCTTTTTTTTTTTTTGTATAGGAGAGAGATAGTGTCTTTAACAAACTCATACATGCAAATTTAACTTTTTTTGCTTCAGTTCCAATTTTAGAATCACTGCTGCATGGCATACAGCAAAATGTTGTTGCATAATTATAGTTGTCAGTTGTCAACCAGCCCAAACTCCCAGCTGTCAAAAGAACTTGCTACAATAGAAACATGAAAGTTGCCATTGTTGACTTCTTTTAGATCCTGTTGCAAATGAAAATTAGCAAATATGATTCCCCTGTACAGAAGAGATGTTGTACTTACCGGTCCTGTCACATGCACTGCTCATCTTCACTCTCCAAGAGTTGCTCTGGCTCCTGTCGTGCAGTGAATCCGACAATCTTGGAAATGTCCGTTTAAAAGGATTTCCTGGATACCAAAGGGCTATCAGTAAAACATTTGCTCATCTAGCAAGATGCTGACACAGAACAAGTATGTGAATTCCCAGTGTCCTGACACTACTTTAGACAAGTGCTGATTCCAAGCCGGTGGCTCATGAAGAAAGGAAAAGCAATTGATAGCAGCTCTTATATTCCTGTGCTGCTGGCAGATGGATGATCTGACACCCATCACTTTCCAAAATGTAAACATTATTTTTTTAAATCAATACACAAGTTTGTTCATTGATGCTTTGTATATCTGCCAAGATTTTAGCTTTAAAGATGCTTATTGGGAAAATTACATTTTTGCGGAGTACTTGCGAGTCTGCACTGAAAAGCTGCAAACTTCCATTGGCTCTGAATTTAAAATAATGGATAATTGTATAAACTACATTTATATAGTCATGATTGTACTGCGTGCGGTGTTCCTGAGTTCATTTTAGGAGTACTACCTATTGCAACTATGAATTGTGACTTTTATAGAGACTGTATTTATAGTATGCTTTCATTTGGACAGATCTTATCAGTAAGATGAGGCTCAGCAGGAAGAAATAGCTGCTTGTGTAATAAACATGTATGGCTGCATATGTAATTACAAATAAACATTAAAATACTTTTGATTTAAATTTACATTTAGTGTATCAGTTTTGCATATATAACTAACAAAGCTATAAGCTCATAACTAAGAAGCTTAAAACTGTTAGGCCATAAATGTGTTCGTGTGGTCCTGTATTTTTCGAGTCGGTTTACATGAGTATATTAGAGACCATATAAAATTTGGTTAAAGGGTTATTAAACCCTTGCATGTTTTTGCATATATCTACTGCTAGTAAGCAGTAGATATATGCAAAACAATTTAAAAAAAAACAAAACTTTTCAAAGGGTTAATACTTACCTGTGTCTCCGCCGTGCGCTTCCATCTAAATATCTGAAAATTTCTCAGGCAGCCTCAAAGGATCTTGGGGATGAGGAGAGACACAAGGTAAAATATATGGAGCAGTGTGCACCCGCACAGACTCCGTGGGACATGAGCGAAGGGGAGGACAGAGGAGTCGGTGCTGGATCAGAGACCTGCACCAGCGCTGGAGGGACAGCTAAAAACTACAGGAAAGATCGGATTAAGAGGCATCATTTAGGGTAAGTCCTTACATTAGCATGGGGGGAGGAGGGACGTCTTTTGCCCTTCATGTCACTTTAAGCAAATCATCACATATTTGGTTACCATTTGAATCCGAACTATTTTGCAACACTGTAATCTTGGTTAAAAATGTTCAAAATTAATTATTTGCTCAGAAGTGTAGTTTTTACAAAACAGTTGTGTTTTGATGCTTTTTATTTTTGGAGACTTGAGTGTTTGAACCTTTTTATTTAGGGTTTTCACTACTTTCTACCTGTTGGGATGGTTTCTATTCCTTTCTATCCCAGTGACTACACATGAAGGATTTTACCTCTTTTAAGGAGTCTCCAATTGTGTTGACCACACAGGAAGTGAGAAGAAATCTTCCTGACTGGTATACAGACAGCATTAAAACCGGATAGAAGTTCTAACTCTTCCCATCTATCAAAACCTAAAATAAATTAACCTATGCTTGTGTTCCCCTCCATGTGTGGTGGTTCCATTCTGTATCCCCTATATCGCTGTTGTGTCCTATAGGGGTTGGAAAATGGAACCACAGGGTGCATCAGAGGGCACAGGCATTTGCCACTACTAGAAGTGTGGGCTACTCAATAGTCTGAGGCTTTGTCAACAGCCCAGGGGAGTGGTGATGTTACTTACCTGGATATGGGACAGTGTTGGGGTCTAGAAATTGGCAATTGGGTCCGGGCACTGTCACAGGGGAGAAGATTAAATGCAGCTCCAATACCTAGAAGTGGCAGGTATTCTCGTTGGCTGCAGAATTGGTGGTCACCTGTTTGTAAACTAAGTAGTTGCTAAAGGATTATTGTTCTGTCTGCCATATCCTGTTTAAAAGCTTTTTTGGTAGGTACAGTGAAGTAATATCTGTACAGAATGTTTGCTTTATACTATGTTTTACATCTGCAACAATTCTCAAAATGAGTATCTTCTCTTCTCAGCCATGGCAGCAATTCGGAAAAAGCTGGTGATTGTTGGTGATGGTGCATGTGGAAAAACCTGTCTCCTGATAGTCTTTAGCAAGGATCAGTTTCCTGAAGTATATGTGCCAACAGTCTTTGAAAACTACATAGCTGACATTGAAGTAGATGGAAAACAGGTAAGGACTGACTTGCAGAGCAATGAAGTGATTTTCTAACTCTATGGTTTTTTTTTTCTTTAATTTTATTTTAATAGTAAATTGGTACTACTACCTTTTGTGGACTACACCCAAACAGTAAAATAGTAATACTACTACATTTGCATTATGAGGCAGTAATAAATGCGTTATTACAGTAGATTATAAACCGTTAAAGTAAACTGACAGTGTATTAATGCAATGCTCAGTTTCATTTGGAGATCTGCAGTGCAACAATATATAAAAAAAACAAATGGCAATGCTGAGAGGTTGGAGATAAAGGAAAGTATGAAAAGATGACATAAATTAGCAGAAGAAAAAAAATAGAATAAGAGAAAACAGGGCAGGTGTGGTGGTGGTGGTGGCAGGGTGGGGGTTACTTTAACTTTCAGCTGGTCCTACAAGGAGGATGAGTAGGCTAAGTTAGAGCATAAGGAGGCATCTTTCAAAGGTTTGAGGAGTGGAGCTCTGGGCCATTGTTTCCTGTACTTTTTCATAGCGGGCCATTCTGTTTGAGCTTGGCTGTCAATTTTTCACAGACCATGGTTTAAGATGGGAGATTCAGAAATTTTAAAAGTGCATTTGTCTTTTTAGATTGTAGGCTCTCACGAGCATGGGCCTCCAAACCATCTTGTCTTGAGTCGTGTTGTAACTGTAAACTGCGATGTGCAAAATATGCATCCAATCCTCCTGCCAGCTAGGAGCCCCATCCGATTTTACCTTTTGTGGTGATGGTCGCAAAACATGAATGAGCAACATAGAGTAGATAGTGGAAATGAAACCAGGCTGGTGGGGGTCATCCTTGCATCCTTGCTCAAATGCAGCAAGCCTAGGTTGTGCAATGGGATATGAGATGGCTATAAGTAGGAAGTATCTGACCTGAAGATACTAAAATACCTAACCATGACACATTGCACACATACACATTGAACCTAAAATATTTCAATGTGTTGTAGTTTGTCTTAAAGGCTTTAAAATATTTTGGTTGCATTAGGCTGACTAAGCGATGAAGACAAAGCAAGTCTGAGGAGATGTTTATAGAGCCACACAATAGTTTAAAGGAGAACTATGAGGTGAGTAATTTTCACTCATCCTCGTTAGAGCCAACCTGTGACAATGAAACTGTCACACGTCGGCTCTACTGATCGGGAAGTGAGCGAACATATAGCGTCACTCGCTCCCTTCCCGATCATCTCCCTGCACAGAGCGGTGACTTTCAGTCACTGCTCCCTGCAGGGATGTCCCCCCCCCCCCCCCCCCCCCCCGCCTCCTG